CAAGATAATGTACAGGCGGACCTCTATTTAACGAAGTCGCTAAATCCCGGGAAAAAGTTCGTTATATGGAAAATTCGTTAAATAGAGATTCACCTTTTAAAATACTTTAAACTGCACAAAACAGATTTTAAATTCATAAACACTAAATATTATTATTAAAAAAAGTAATTAATCACTTCTTTATTTTGTAAATTAATATGTATTTGTTTTCCATCAAAAAGAAATCTGCAAGGAAAACCAGAATAAAACAAAATATTTTCCGGGAATACACAGTATTTTCAATTTACAAAAAATAATTTTATATTAAAATTAATGAATTGTAATGACATTATCGCATTTATTTCAACAAGTAATTTTAAGCATACATTACCACATGCGTCCTTAGATTTAATTACTGATAAAGTTCGAGGATAAGGGGAAAGCTCCATTGAGAGTGAAAGGGGGGATATTGAAAGTTTTTCTAATGAAGTGGACTGGGGGGGGAAAGGTTGCACCTCCTGGATGAAATGAAAAGAATGACTGCGATTTTACTACTCTCGATGAGTTAGGAGACTGGTAAACCCAGTTCAAGGTCATTGATCACCACAAAATGCGTTAAAAGAAAGAATAAGTTTGAAATGTTCAGAAATATTTTGAGAATTACGGAGGAAAAAAGTATTTGATCACAAGAAAAAGTTCGTTAAATAGAGAATGCACTTCGCTATTTAGAGGCTATTTTACGAAGAAATTCGCAAAATGTTCTTGGTTCTAAGGAAAAGTTCGCAAAATAGAGGTTCGTTAAATAGAGGTCCGACTGTATTTAAAATAGAATTTTTAAAAAAACAGTTTTATTTCTTAAAAGCCCAAAATTTTTTTTTCTAATTGTCTGAATTGTATTTTAGAAAATTATCGACGTATCTTTTTTCCACGAGAGATTTCTAATAAAAGAAAACGAATGCTATTTAAAGCAGATGAGTTTCCGTCAGGTAACGTGAAAGCGAAACCGCAACCAAATAACGGAGAACGAGAAACAACCGAAGAAAAATAAATCAAGAGAGCGAAGACCCTAGGGCGAGAGGAAGAAAAAAGGAGCATCACACAGTTGGCCTTGCGCCAAAGGTCTGCATGGAATGCAGCTCAAGCCACCGCCAAACTCAACGGGAGGAAATATTGACCTCGTATTCCGGAGCGTCGCTTAGCTGTTGCGCAGTCAGCGAATTTTGATGCTTGCTGGGGCTGTTTTTCGAAAAGCTTCGACTTGTGTATCTCCTGCTTTTTGATGTATTTTCTGTCTTCTTTCTTCGTTTTCGCTTTTCTTGTCCTACATTTTCGTTGTTGGTCGAACTTTTCAATGAGAAAAAATAACCTAATAGGATTTTATTACATTACATTACACCACCTGCAACCGTGTTTAGAGCCATTTGGCTCCTTTCCGATTTGGATGGAATGGACGTGAATTTTATTTTTTTAGAAACGACAAAAACCTATAACAGGGACAAAAACAAATAATAATGAAAAAAGAAACATACACTGGACAGGAAACAAACATAAGAACAACATGGAAAACAAAACAATATGGAAAATATAAAAATACGTAGAAAAAAAAGAAGAGTTATATGTAGCCGGAAGCGTGTGTCAATCTGGGTGGATGCGTGCTCAATGATCATCCTCTACAATGAGATTGTTCTCATCACATATGAAGCGCATTAGGAGTCGAAGTCGGTTTCTTGACAAGTTTTTATTCGTGAGAATGTTTTTCAACCACTGTAATTTAAGTGACACTGTTGGAGTTTGGAAATGCCAGGAGAGGGTAAACCGACATTTTGTGGCATAGTGCATTGTATCTCCTTTCTCTCCGCACGAGCAGTTATCATGTGTTCGAAGATTGAAGAGAAGGACCCGTGTCCTGTAACGAACATTAGCTTTTCTCTATTCCATCCTACTGGCTTTATGAGGAATTATATCGTGTGTACTGCGGCTAGTTTCTCAGTTATCCAAGTTGTCTTCTCAGATGCTTAAATCAGCATCATCGCATTCATCGCCTAAATAACCGACGTGGGCTTTAGCCATCTCAAGAGAATGTGTTTATGGGAGAATAAAAGGGTTTGAATCTCTCGGACCATAATATTTTGGGATTTAGGATTAAGTATGGCCATCAAACTTGACAAACTGTCTGTCCAAATTTTGATTGGTCTATGAAGGGAAGAAGCTGCTTCAATTGCCATTTTAATGATTTCAGCTTGGAAAACCTAATTGCTGTGACCAAGTTTATCTTGCCATGAGGCTATTATTCCAAAGTTTTCGAGAATGCAATAGGATTAAAAAAACTGAAACAGAAACTTTTAAAATAATTTCAAGGGGTGCTGCAGCTCTGCTGCCCTAATGGACGAGCCGCCGCTGTGGTGACCTCATATTTTAGAACTAGAGTCAGATGATAAAAAAGACCCCTGACTTGGTGATATTCTCAGAATTTTCAAGGCACACAAAGTGAACATCATAATTCATGACGGTGGACCAGACCTATACACACAGTGGATCTTCGGTGGAATCGATCTCGAACCTGCAGTCTTCCAACTCCAAAAGTGCTGGAGAAGGGTGTTTGTAGAGGCTGTGATTTTCTTCATGTGTTGCATGATAGATTTATTGTGATTTTTTTGTAAAAGAAACAAGTACTATAGTTATATGTGTCTAAGACTGAGAAAGGTAATCACAGATAGCAATTTTAGTTTGCAGCAATCTTGCTCTGCAGATCTGCAAGATTGTAGCAAGTTTGACACGGCAAGAGTGCACGCTTGAAACAAGTTAACACAAACGAGTTAGTCACCACGCGTCAACTTTGTCACAAGCTTGCCGCGTCAAACTCATTGCAAACTATAGCAAAAACAGAGTACGAAGACAACCTTGGATTCGAAATCCGGACAACCCGCTTCCTAAACCTGTCGGCCTAACCACTCAGCCAGCTAGACTCTGAGAGGAGAAGATAGATTGCGCTAATAAATCGTGCATGTATACGATTTATTTTAAATTGTTTACTTTATTTCATTAATTTTTTAAATTTTGAGTTGAGAATATGATTTGAGGTCAAAGAGAGAGCGATTTTCGCTAATAACTACGTTTTCCTAGTAGAATAAATTATGAAATTAGGGTTCAAAAGTAATTATTTTTAAAATGGGATAAAATGTAAGCTATTATTTTTCAGCAAACATTGACTGTTTTTCAGGTTTAATTTTGTTTATGAAATTAAAAAATTTTAACATTAAGAAAAAGGAGATATATAGTTTTCTTTAAAGTGCAAGTTCTATATTTAGTAAAAAGATGGAGAAGTTTTCAAAAATTTTTTAAATTTTTTTTATAAAAAGAAGGACAGTCTAGGAGATGCTATTAAAAATCGGATGTTTTTAGAACAAAGATTAAATGTAAGTGTGCTGTATCATCTCTGCAGCAAACTTGTTTTGCAATCATGGTGTGAAGTTTGTCTTAACAACTTCACAGCAAACTTAATTTGCAAGTGGGTTGGTCGATTATGCTTTGTTACTTTGCAGGAAGTTTGCTGCAAAGTTGCCACATCAAGTTTGTCATGACAAGCTAATATCAAGAAAATCAAACATGCTGCAAGTGTGCACACTATCTGGGATATGATACAAATACCGGGTGGCTCAAGATAAACAGGACACAAAGCGAGCAAAGAACACGTGACTATAAAGCGATATTCCTATTAGCACAAGATATTTTACAATGTAGGATATCTTCCCAGATAGCAAAGAAAGCTTGTTTAAAAGGTTTTGGAAACATTGTCGTCAGCAAGGGTAAATGGTTGTCAGAAAGGTTTCCATGATAAGGGTTGAACCTTTCGGTAGGGTAGCGGAAAGGTTCGCTAATCAACAAGAAACAAGGTTTTCTGTAAGATTTCCCCCAAGCTTTTATTACAAGCTTGTTTCATGCCTTTTCAAAAGGTTGTTAAGAACTCACCTTCGGTGGAAAAAAAAGAATCCCCTTCCTCCCCCCGAAGCCGTATTCCCAGATAGCAATTTTAGTTTGCAGCAAGCTTGCCACAAATTTGTCATGACAAGAGTGCAAGTTTGCGACAAATTTGTCGTGACAAGAGTGCAAGCTTGCAGTAAGCTTGCAGCAAGTTAACGAAAGCTCCGAAGTCACCGTGAAACGAACTTGCAGCAAGTTTGCCGTGTCAAACTCATTGCAAATTATAGCAAAAACAGAACACGAACACAACCCGGGATAGAACTCGCGACCTCCCGGTTCCGAAGCGGAGACGCTACCATTGAGCCAGTTGAACTCTGTGAATCGAAGATAGATTTCGCTAATACATCGTTCGATTCGATTCGTATACGATTTATTTTTAACTATTTTCTGGATTTCATTAATTTTTTGAGTTGAGAATATGATTTGAAGTCAAAGAGAGAGCGATTTTCGCTAATAACTACTTTTTGCTAGTAGAATAAATTATGAAATTAGAGTTAAAAGTAATTACTTTAAAATGGGACAAAATTTCTAGTTATTATTGTTCAACAAACACTGACTGTTTTTTAGATTTAATTTTGTTTATAAACGTTAAAATTTCAACATTAAGAAAAAGGCGACATAGTTTTCTTTAAAGTGAGAGTGATATATTTAGTAAAAAGATGGAAAATGTTTCAAAAAATTTTTTTATAAAAAAGTTATTTTTTTCACAAATTATCATTGATTTATTGAATTAATAAAAAAGAATTACGGTCTAGGAGATGCTATTAAAAATCGGATGTTTTTTAAAACAGAGACAAAGATAATTATCTCTTTATTGTGCTATCTTTGCAGGAAGCTTGTTTTGCAAAATTGCAGCAAGTTTGATTTGCAAAGAGGTGGCGCTACTTGTCACATCGAACTTGCTACAAGTTCGATTCAAGTTTGACGCGTCAAATTTTGCCATGACAAGTCAAAATCAAACTTGCTGCAAACTTACGTGCTATCTGGGTTCCTACAAAGAGGAACCTCCTTTACAAAGGGGTACTCCTACAAACTTCAAATTCCTCCGAGCCGGGGATCAAACCCGCGGCTCTTGAGTTGGAAGACAAACGCAATAACCACTATACCGGACGGTTCTATACACGATTTGTTAGGTGGTTCATAAAAAGCTTATCTACGTCAATTTTGCGGGAATGGTTTCCGAAACGGTTTGCGCGGAAATGCTTTCGCGAACAGCCTATGGAAAGTGAAATGGCAACCTTTCCGCAACCTTCTTTTCTATTTGGGTTATGGACGAGTTTTCTGTTTTGCTTATTACATTAAAATGCCGTGAATACAGAATTCCGATGTAATGCTAAGTCAGTGGAATCTTCAAAGGGAAAGTCCAAAAGTAAAGCAAATGAAGTCAAGGTTTTTAATGTAAGTGGACAAAACAGAAAACTCGTCCATGAAAATTGCAGAGCATCTTGTGTTAATGGACGAGTTTTCTGTTTTGTTTGTTTGCGGTAAAGTAGAACTTCCGCCTTACCCATCAACTTTCTGTGATAATTTTAAGTCCGTATGAGAATCTTCAAAATTTCAACTCTCTGATTGAAGATATCAATTCATTTTTAAAGTGGAGTTTTCTAATGTTATGGCTTAAGGATACTTTTAATATATTAAATTTCATGTTCCTGCTGTTGTTGCTCTCAATGTCTACTTAAAATAAGAGCCTAATTTTGTGGAAAGGTTGCCATAATTATTCTTTATCGCTTTATTATTAATCTTAATTATCTTTGGCGCTTTGCGTACTCAAGAAAGAACTTATTCTCTTTGCGTTTGATATGGAATCCAATTAGATTTGGCTATCTCTTAAATTGGAGGGATACTGGAAAAAGGAAGTGAACCTTCACCACGGAAGTTCTGTGAAACCAAAATAAACAAATCAGAAAACTCGTCCATAGGGATTATGCTAAATGAAATACAAAAAGAGAAGTGGACATCCATCTCCACAGGTACTGTCGGAAATGTCCGAAATGTTAATTCTTGTTGCTACGTCGAATACACTGACGCTCTTCGGTTTTTCCACTCCCATGTCCGGTTCGGTTTATCTTGTACCACCCTGTACAATCATCTCCCATAATTTTACGGCTTGAGCTTTTGCTCTAATTTAGTGTACAGGTTACTCCAAAATTCATGGCCCCAAGTATTAGGAAGCGGCAGAACACGTCGATTCTGCATAGAACATATGACCACAAGCGCAGCCAAGAGTAAGTAATCAGACACACACCTGTTATTAGATGCAATCAGTCTGATAGCATCTATATAGATTATGCCCCCATACCACTATCCCACCACTTTCCCTTTCTGCTCATACGTTTGTAGAATTTGCCGGGAAAATTGATTTCTTTTCTTTTTGAGTAGAAGAAATCAATCCTAACCATCTAATTAATATAACATTTCTCATGAATCCTAACCATCTAATTAATATAACATTTCTCATGA